GTGAAATGATGTCACCATTACAAACATCTGTGTGAAATGATGTCACCATTACAAACATCTGTGTGAAATAATGTCACCATTAAAAACATCTGTGTGAAATAATGTCACCATTAAAAACATCTGTGTGAAATGATGTCACCATTAAAAACATCTGTGTGAAATAATGTCACCATTAAAAACATCTGTGTGAAATAATGTCACCATTAAAAACATCTGTGTGAAATAATGTCACCATTACAAACATCTGCCACGAACAGCTGCAAAACAAACAGTTGGAGGAGAATTGATCAACTAATGAGGTTATTTAGCAACAGGTCACTTAAAGGACTCTATAAAGAAGCTGGATCTCAGAAGTAAAGATGGGCAGAGGTTCACCAGGTTGAAAAAAGAAAGTCTTAAACTATTTGAGAATAATGTTGCTTATTGGAAAATAATTAGTAAGTAATGTTTAAAAACAGGTCTGATGTCTGGACCCTCCCTCCCCTGCATTAAGAACAGGTCTGATTCTGTTACAGATGTTGCTGCATGGGCTCAGGAACATTTCCACAGATCTCTGTTCAACACACACCATCCATTACTGCCCATTAAGTTCAAGTCAAGGTTGTTTATCGTCATTAGCATCACACGTGGTACACGAGGTGGAACAAAATTGTGTCCACAGGGTCCCAGTTACACCCAGAAGTAGCAAAATATAAAGTATAAATCAAAGGAGGAGCAGTACGTGAACAACATGCCATGTTTTGTGGGTCAACGCTCGTTTAAAAGGGACTGAGGCAAAGTGGAGGAGTGAAAGGAAAAGTTGAAATTCTTTTCGGAAACACAGACACCAGGTCCTCCATACTCAAGAATAAATCAGTCTGCTATCAGCGCAGTTCAAAAGCGTGCCTCTTTGATGGTATGGAGGTGCATTAGTACCTCTGACAAACCTGTCAAGGCTTCATGAGTGGGGTATATACAGGTGTGCACACACACATGCGCTCATTGATTCTTTTCCAGGGTTCAGGACCACAATGCTAAACCACATCCTGCTTCCATCACACCTGGATGTTTTTGTTGTGGGACAGTCTGATTGCTGAACTGGCCTTCCTGCAGTCTACAACATTTGATGCATGACGAAACTAAAAACTGGAGCCCGACCGATATTATCGGCAGGGCTGATATTTTAGGCTGATGAGGACGTTTCAGTATTGGTGATAGCCAAACTTTCCATATGGGTCGGGCTGTAAAAAGAGCCAGAACTGTGGAACAGCTGGAATGTAACATCAGACAAGAACGGGACAACTTTCCCTGTAAAGCCTCCAGCTGCCGGTCTCCTCAGTGCAGTCCTTTAGAAAGCGTTGTTAAAAGAGACGAAGCTTCACATTTGGAAGAGTGCGTCTAATTCATTCAACCTTCACTTCTACAGGTTAGTCCCATTGAGCCTCAGGGACTCATTTACAGAGAGACCTGGTTTAACAACGAGTGATGACGACAGTGCACAATCATAAAGGATGCGCGCAAATTATTATTTTTAAAACAAGTTAAAATAAAATGACAATCAAAAGGAAACACAGCAAGAAAAAAACAGATTGTTAGACGGTGTAGAATACTATACTGTATTATACTGCTACTGCTACTATAATAATAATAATACTGTGGCAATAATACTAATACTGTCATAATAATAATAACAATAATATTATAATAATAACGTAATAGCAATACTAATAAAATAATAATAATAATACGGTAATAATAATAATAATAACAATACTATAATAATAATAATAATAATAATAATACTGTGGTAAGAATAATAACGTAATAACAATACTAATACAATAATAATAATAATAATACGGTAATAAT